ATTTTCCCCGGGCAGGCAGCTGCGGTTCCTGGTGCGTGCGTTTGCGATAGATCGTGAGCTCGTGTTCATTAACGCGAGGCCGTTTGTGTGCGCGTGGCCGGAGGCCTGGGCTCCGGGACACTGACAGGTGAGAATGGCGACGCTGCAGTAGCTTCATTGTGTGATCTTATTTCATGCTCTAGGCATGCTTTTTCTTGCTGTCATTTACTCAAGTAGCAGCAGGTGTTCCTTGGAGATATTTTCATAATAAGTCCTACTTATTTCAGACTTTTTTTTTTCCTCCATATTTGCAGTCTTTGCTTTGTGCTTGCATCCTGCAAGCAGTGTGGGACAGAGGTTGCTGGAGGCAAATGAGAGCCCTGGCTGGGGAGGAGGGAACTGTTGAAACTCGATAGCAGAGACACTTTCCTTATCTGACAAACTCCAGCTAGCTGGAATGCTTCTGCTAGTAACATATGGTGCTTTTAAAATTCTGCTGCAGGTGTGGAGTACTATTTTTATTTGAATGATTTGAGCTATTCTCCTTCTTTGAGCTGATGTCTCAGACTGCCTGCAGATTCAGCAGGGTAGATGGAATTGGCTGCATTCAGTTTTGTTTTTCTTTCCCCTGCATCCTTGCAACCATTGCCTGAGAAGCAGAGCCCAGGGTAGTTCTGCTCTTCCTTGGATTGCTTTGCAACTTGGAAGGTAGGCGAGAAGTGGCTAAAATGGATGCAGATGCAGCGTGGAGCTTGTGTAATCCTTCTGGGAAGGAGGGGGGCACTGTCCCCTCTGGTGCCCGCGCTGTGGTGGCACGTGCCTGTTTGCCTGGTTTCAGTTCTTTCTCTGACACGCTGGGAAGTGTTCTGGTGTGCCCCTGCCACAGCCTTGTCATCCTTTTTGCGAATGGTCTCGTGTTTTAATTCCCAGTGAGGTGCTATTTCACTGCAGGTTGTGGATGTGATTGATAGTGATAGGATCAATGCAGTGGGTCCATCTTCCTGCCTAGGATTGTGGGGAATACAGAAGCAAAAGGCATTTTGCTGAAGCCCATCCTTCTGCAAAGGCAGGAGAGGAAAATGACGATCTTGTGTCTGCTTTTGCTATCTCTCCTCCTCGGTGACAAGTCTGAAACGCGGGTGTAGCCGGGACCTGCCCTGCATGTCACTGCCTGGACCAGCTGCTTGCAGCAGGATGTCCCTGGGTTGCGGCAGGTCCGCAGTTCACAGGTGCCATTTGCTCAAAGTTTGTCCCATCCGTTGTGCCCATGACCTCTGCATTCACAAGCCAAGTGAAAACCACAGTCTGGAGCGGTGCGTGGGGCATGTCCTGCGGGAAGCGGGACGGAGCGCGGCGACGCTGCGGCCCTGCGCGCTGCCGGGGCTGCCTGGGCCCTGCTGGCCTGTGTGCACCGGCTCAGTGCAGCCGGGCTCGTGCGGGCTGTGGGGCTCTGGAAACGGGATTTTCGTGCTGGTGTGTCCCAGGGAAGCCTTGTGTGGACTGGCAGAGAGCGGCCCAGGGTACTCTGGTGCTGATCGTCTGCTTGCGCTGCGCCGAAGGGCCCCTTTGCTTTGTGGGCAGCTCCCTGCTGCTCTGGATGAATCGCACAAAATCTCCGTTTCTTTTAATTCCCCTTTCCAGCAGCGCCGAGCCCGTGTGCCGTGCGAGGAGCGGAGCACAGGGACATCCAGTGCACCCTGTGCAATGCAGCCACCTCCCAGTCACCTTTGAAACCTGCGGAGCAACCGGCAGCACAGGGACATCCCTGGGAAACCTCACAGAAGCCCCTCCACAAATGACCCCAGTAACCTCAGCCCAATCTCTTTAATGTGCTAAGAAGGATCAAGTGGTTCCTGCAGGTAGAGAAGGGTGTTCAAGCAAACACATAGTTGTTAGATTTTTCCTGCCATGTGTATGAGTACATATGTCCTTCATAGGAAAGATAAGCTTACAGTTTTTGATTCCTCACTATATATGTGATCGTATTTTGGGTGTAACTGAGGGGCTATTTTTAAATGAAGACATTCACCTGACTCAGCAGCGTGGCTTCCTGCATCTGCTGTGAGTCACCTTTGCTGACTTGGTCCAAAAGAAATTTGTGCTCATGCTGGCATGGAGGGAGCGGCAAAGCTCTGGGAAAGCAGTAGGATTTTTCTGAGACTTGCGTCATCATCCTCTCAGCAGTGGCATCAAGCAATTTCTAACTTCAAGGTTGGATTCTGCCTGTATTACTGCACTGTAGAAGCTTCAATTATCCCTGGAACAATTCCTGGCAGCGAGCTGATGTGGCTCTAGCTGGAGATAGAGTTTGTAGCGGAAAGCAGGGAGCTCCCAGGCTGGCTGGACGGAGCTGGTGGTTAAAATTGGAGGCCGAGTCAGAGAGCATCTTTACAGAGAGAGAAGTGAGTTTGAGGTCTCACTGATATCCCCATGTTTCAGATTTTATGGGCAGCTCTGAAATAATGATCTGGTCTTTGTTTGTTTGTTTTCCAATAAATGAATCAAGATCTGTTGAAGCTCAGAACTCGATCCTTCTTTGAGGATGGAATTTTCTTTTTTGCTGTGTGAAGGAGTGTACCTTAATCCATCAGATAATAACCGTATTTTGTGCAGGCACACCCAGCACATTGTTTTCTCAAGGAAATAAATACTCTTGCTGGTATCTAGGTTGTGGTGTTGTCAGTGTCTCCTCTGAAGTCAGATCACATCCAGATTCTTGCCTGACCTACATCCCCAGCTAGAACTGAGCTCTTCTGAATGCAACCCTGGAAATTCAGCTGCAATTCAGGTGCAGAGCAGAGCGAACCATCCTTCCTGCCAAGTCGTCTTTCACCCCAGTTCAGCGTTTGGGAAGAGGCACCGGTTACCCTGGCAGCAGCTGCTGTGCACGAATTGCAGAACCAGAGCGGGCGCAGCAGGGAGCTGTGCAAACGCTCTCAGCTCGTCTTGGTGGGGAAAACCAGGCTATGTTAAAACACAAAAGAAGAAGCAGATGTGATTCCTGTAGCATTAACTCTGCTCATGCAGCATGACCTGTCCTGGGTCTGCTGCTCGCTTTTCCCTTCCTGGAAGTAGCATGATTTGCTTCAGAGGTTAAAATTTTCCTGGACTTTTTCTGTGATGTGATTTTGCTTGTTCTTCCCTCTTTATCAGGCTGGGTTAAGCTTTTTTTAGAACTGCAAAGAAGAAATCTCTTTATTCGGTAAAAACAACTGGACTTCTCAGTACTGCTGTGAGCACCTGCTGAAGCACCCTAGAAACAGCTGCGTTCTGGGCATCAGCAGAGTCCTGTGCATCCAACTTGTGAATTGCTTTTGAATCCTTTGGGTCAACAAGTTCAGTCCTATGGGATTCTTGCTGTTGATTCAGGGATATAATTTACCTTCCGTAGCTTCTGAATCATCTCAACAGAGATATGCTTTTATTGCACTGATTGTGTCCTGTGTGCATTTGAGGTCAGTGATAGAGGCAATATCTTAACATTTTAGGTTATTTTAAAAGGATTAGTTAGTTGATATTTGTGTGTCAGTGTTAAGAGCGAGCTGTGACTCTGGTCTGCTGGACTGCAATTTTTCACTATCTGTGGAGACCCTCAATTCCTTCTTTAACAAGATAGGTCATTTAGGAAGGTCTCGGGGCCCCACTGTCACCCAGTGTGTACCAGCCATGCGTTACTGTGAGCATCACTTGCTTTTTATAGCATAAAATAACAAGGAGGGAGTTTCCCTGACTCACTGGCTTGTACTATTAACAGTGTGATGGGGCTTTCACTTGCATTACTTACGTCTGAGTGTTAGAAATAGCTTGGGAAGAAGCTGATGAAATGAAACTGTTCACTGATAGCAGATGCTCTCTGACCAGGGGCCCCAGCTCCTGCTTTGTGCAGCCACGGCACGAGTGGAAAAAAGCCTCAGGATGTTGCCTTTGGTGAGAGGAATTACCAGACCCTGTGCTTGTTGCTCGTCAGTTTAAACATCAGACTTTCATTCTAAGAGGTCACCTCGAATGCTTTTGTTAAAAAAAGAAAAAAAAATGCAGAAGCACATTTTTGGGGGCATTTACACACCCAAACATACCTTGTGACATTCCTGTTGCTTCTGAAAGAGTTGCTCCTATCTGAATACATCTTTCTGACAGCTGGTATTTCTCCTGCTACACTGTCAGACAGCTTCAGTGGGAAGGTCCAGACCTGAATCCTCCAAGGTTTCCTTCCCCAGAGTTGCTGTTGCATAGGCAAATCACTCTACCTTTCAGTACTGTCACTCCCTCTTTATGGTGTTAAGGTAATTAATTTTTTGCTGTACACAGGGCAGCAGAGGGAGATGATGATGAGAAGTGCTGTGCAAGTTCTTGACTACACCTGCCATTTGCAGGTTGTTAATCTCCGTCAAGAATGTAATTGGCTTTTTGTAAGAACGGCTGCTTTTATCTGCAGCAGCTCAGGGGACAGAGAGCAGCCCCATGGCTGTCCATGTGCCTGTGTTCTATGTTGTCTGGGGACAGCGTGTCTTGTCCCCAGATCCTTGAATTGGCTAGCTAAAATGCTTGCTTGCCCATGACCCGTTCGCAGACTTCCCCTATGGGGAATGGAGCATTCTTCATGCTGAAAGTGCTCAAGTGCTTGATGCGTAGCAGATTGCCCCGCAGTGGATGTAGCCTGGGCTGTTCGTGTATCTGCTGGTGCACTGTGTGTTGGTGTGTGTGTTGCCCTGTGGCTGCTGTGCATCTCAGCTGAAGTGCTCCTACTTTTAATAGTTTCTAATAGAGTGTGTGAGTAAAGCAGGCAAGATGCTGGTGGGAAAAGAGGCCCTCAATCTTTGCTGGCCAATACTAAACAAAGAGTGAGTTGCAAACACCTTCATTCCATGCGCAGTCACCTGAGACCATGTTGGCAGCAGGTACCAGCCAGTGCTCCTGGTCCACTGGCTATGGGAGGAAGACTACAGGGCTAGAACAGAGGGAGGTGTAAGGCTTCCTGCCTTAGCCTTGCTGTCCTCTGGGTTATCAAAGGTTTCTGTCTGACCAAAGACATCCTGGAGAGGACATGTTACCACTGTCCTGCTCTGCAGCTGCTGTTCAGCCATCTGATGCTCATTAGGGAACTTGCCATTTTCCTCTGCAGGAAAGAGCACTGGAAACTGCTAGGAAACCTGAAGACCACGGTGGAAGGACTGGTGTCCACCAGCAACCCAAATGTCTGGTCTAAGTATGGCGGCTTGGAACGGCTCTGCAGAGACATGCACAGCATCCTCTACCATGGGCTCATCCACGACAAGGTAGGTCTCTGTCCTGCCAACGCTGCTGTCTGTCTGAGCAGCTTTGGTGTCAGTCCCTGAGTGGCTCAGGTGGACGTATCTGCTTGCAGATTTTTTTTTTTATGCCTATAGTATAGATTGAGTACAATGCTTCTATCAGTGTGGGAAAAAATTAGAGCAGGAAATGAGCTTGCCTTGCAAGCACTGCAGTTTTAGGAAGGACCTGTGTATGTGTTTTTTCAGTCACAAATACTTCAACATATTTTTTCCAAGTACCTGTGTCCTCTGTGGTGAGAGACCTGCCCCTGTCTTCTTTCTTACTGCTGCAGCCTGCAGCAAAATGATAAAGCTGAATTCACAGTGAGTCAGCCTCATATCATGAGTACTTGGACAACTCCCCAGTGAGGTCTGGCAAGAGAATCCTCATATCTTTACTGTTTCTGATTAGCCTTGTTAATAATTGTGGCCGACAGCCCAGTCTACAGTCAGCATCAATGGGATGTCTTTCCATGCTCTCGTCATTCCTTGCAGTTGCTCATCCAGCCATTCCCTCCTCCATGAGTGCCTGGCAGCATTTTTCTTTTCCACTCTGGAGAGTGTTTGTGTGCAGAGGCATGAAGATCTCCTCTTCAGCTTGCTCCTTCCACCACAGTTATTCCACAGTGGAAAGGTAAAGCAAGCCTGCAGGGCCTGCTTTGGGGTGAGCTTACCCTCAGCCAGCTGTGCAGCCAAATGAGCAGGGTAGAGAAACCCAGAGAGGTTTGCACAGGGCTGGCTGGGGTCCAGGTGTGGCAAAATTGCATCTATATAATGCTGCATTAGAGGGGGTAATGCTGTATTAGGGGAGGTAAGCAGAGAAGCAGAGAAAGAAGTTACCTCTCAAATGCAAGGTGTGCACTGATCTTTTCTGACAGTCTAGAATAATTTATCCTTGTCTGTGTAGTGGTTGTTTTTCATGCGAGAGCTTTAGAAAATTTAGAAGAGTAGACAGCATGCTGCCTTTCTTGATGCTTTTGTTGTTATGTAAAGGCAGTTCTTTTAGTTAGAAATGTCTCTAGTGCTTAGGGATGTGTGATACTACAGACGACTGGATCTAAAATAGCTGCAAAGGGAGGCTAATAAAAATATAAAGTTCCCTAGCAGATTTTTTTCTATTTGTTTCAGCTAACCACTTCCTTTTATTTATCTTTTTTTTTTATATCAACTTTGTTTTTACAACCAGGCATAAAAACAATAAAGACAAAAAATTCCATATGTACATGTTAACAGAACCAGGTGAGAGATTTTTAACTTTTGAGTGAATTTTATTTCTTTGTCAAAAAAACAAAAAACAACTGAATGTAAAAAGCCAAAATTTCCATTCTAATTCTCTACCCTTAAAAGGCTCAAAAAAAAAAAAAAAGAAAGAAACCACAAAACAGAACCTATTTGTCGGGCATTTGTGAAAGAGGAAATAAAAATGGAGGAGAAAAACAGCATTTTGGCTGAGAGAAACATTTTGAGGCTGTGTTTTTACATGATAAAGTGATGAGGCAAATAACAACTCTTCTGCAGTTCCTCTTTAACTGGAAGAGTAACTGAAAAGAAGTAACTCATTGTCTCAGTAAAGGTGAGGCAAACAACAACAAAGAGCTAAGAGAAATGCAATGTTAGAGCCTGTTGTATCATGTTTCTTATCTGCAGCACTCAGCCCTACTGGTGTCCTTGGTGGTGGTTTGCAGTATTAGAAGACAGCAGCGTCCCGGATGTGTTTCCATGTTGCCCTTTGTGCCCCTTGCTGAAGTTTGGCCCTGTGCAGTGCTGAGTCGTTGGGTCTCTCCTCCAGGTCTTGCTCTAGCAGGAAGAGGAACGGTGATAATGGGAACTCAGTCAACTTTGGACTTGGCACACCTTCAAATACAATAAGCAAAGAGGGATGCAGCAACTCATGGAATGATTGGGAGGATTTGGGCACAGTTTTCTGATTTGTGTCTGAGGACTCAGCAGGTAGCATCTGAGGAGTGGTCCCTTCTGCCTGTGTGTTCTTTTCTGCTCAGCAGTAGTGGTCTTGGCCCTACTCCAGGATACAGGATGAGCTACAGTTGGCATTGCGGGTCTTTAGGGTCTTCACTGCACCACAGCAGGGGTTGGGACTTTTCAGTACCATGTCACATCCCTGCCTGAAGATATATCCTGTCTCCATTGTGTGATGGACTGAGATCTTGCTTGGTGGGATTAAAATAAGCTTCAGGATCTGCTGTCTTGTTATGGCTTTGCTTGTGGAGCTGAATGCACAACGGGTGGGTCAGCGTGGCAAGAACAGTAAATGACTTATCTACATCAGGCCAGTGTTTCTTTACTCGATCTCTGTCCCCTTATGTGTCAGTATAACTTTCTTTTACTCTCATTATTTTTCCTCTCTTGTGCAGCACTGTTGTTCCTTTTTGGTCTGTTTTCTATGGGCCTGTTTTCCCATCTTGCTAGGGTTAGGGTTAGAGGCTCATGGTAAAATGGGGCTAGTCTTTTATCTGCCTTTTAGCTGCTGCTGAGGGCCAGGGACTAGGGAGGGCAACTTCAATTCAGAGACCTGTTCTTCCTTGTAGCAGCCTCATGGCAGCAAGGATGGTATGATGAACCCTGTGTTACACAACTCCCTTGTCCAGGGAGAAGGGTGGTCAGGCCTTACTGAGCAAGTCTGTAGGTCTTCTGTGTTAGGAAAGGTGAATGCCCTGGATCAGGCTTCAGGACTGGCAGCCCTAGGCTGAGGTTGCCCAGTCTTTGCTTGGGCTCTGTATATCCTTCCAGTTGTTTCTCCTCTACCAGTGATCTCACCTACTCTGTCAAATGTCTGCTTCCTCTTTGGATATAAAAAGGTCTCAGGACAAGCCAGAGGTGGGTGTTGCCATCAGAACAGTTCTTCTTCCCAAAACCTTTAGGCAAGAGGCTGTTGGGGGCAGACTGTGGACTGTATGATCAGTCCTGGCAGGTTGTCGGTTGAATGCCTTGTCCTAGATGGCCAGCTCTGTCGTATTGCTTCTGCTCAGAAGGATTTAATTACTTCTTCCCTCCTGGTGCCTGTTAAATCTCATGTGGCAGCTCTGCTGGAGGTGTCTGATGCCCACATTCGCTGCTGTGAACTTGCTGCACCCAGTCGGCGTTGCAGGGGGACTTTGGTGGAGTCTAACTGTGCCTTTTCTGGGCAGGTGTGCTGCAGACAAGATTACTGGCAGTTTGTGAAGGACATTCGCTGGCTGAGTCCCAACTCAGCTCATCACGTGGAAAAGGTGAGTTCTGGTGGGGTGGCCCTGTGTACCCAGCAGGGAAGGAAGTGGGGGCTGGAGTGTGAGCCTCCCTGGTGAATCAGTTTTGTCTTCATTGTTGGCTTGTGGCAGACAGTGGAGCTGATAGGGAGGGGATGGCTCCCCAGCCCCATATGTATGGGGCTGAACCAAGCAGGGCAGCCTTGAGTTTGTGACAAGCCACATCCCAGGAACTTGCCATGGTTTATGCCGAGACAATCGGCTACTTATTTCTCACAGGCCAGTCTCCAACTCCACAAGGTTGGTACAAAAGGCGTCACCAAGGGAACCAGGACAAATGATGCTTCTCTGCTAACGGGTGATTTATGCGGCTGTACAAATCTCTAAAGGTGTCCTGGCCTGACTGTTCATTTGGTTCTTCTATTCCTGGCTTGTGCCCTGTCCTGACACAGGGGATGCTCTCATTTCTCGGCCCCTGTGCCCTCACAGACACCCCAGTGCAGATCCCTCGCTCTGGGCACAGACACAGAAGTGTGAGCAGGGCCCGTGGGCGCCGCTGCAGTCTGCTCCGGGGAGCAGCGAGGAGGAGTGTGAAGGGCTGAGCACTGCTGGTCTGTATGTGCAAGCTGCTCCTGGGCCCGTGCCCAAGGCCAGCTCAGGAGGGCATGAGCTGTGACTGCCCTCAGCAGCACAGTCCCACTCTCCAACTCAAGCTGCAGCAGCCCAGGCTATTAGCTGTGATGTTCCTCAGTTAATGTGTCAGCAAGATGATGATCGTCCCCTCAGAAAAGCATTTGCTTTGGGGAGCGTGGGGTCTTGTGAGGTCAGGGCTGTGACATATGGGTGGGAAAGCATGTAGGAGAAATACGTAGTGCTTGTGGCTCTAGGGAGGAGAACTTTGGTCGCTGGTGCTGGTTGACCTTTGAAGTGTTGTTGTTCTCCAGTGCTCTTGTCTCCCTGTCGTGCTTTTACCAGTAGCTGGGAAGCTGTTAGGATGTGACTGAGTTCCCCCTGCACCGGCTGGCGTGTGAGCTGTAAGGGTGGAATAATCTCTGCTCCTCTGCTAGTCTCTGCATGCCCTGACTGCCGTGTGGTGTTTGTTTGCAGTTCCTCAGCCTGCATGAGAACGGGCAGCCCAACACTGACGGCCTAAGCGACCAAGCTGTTGCGAAGCTGTGGCTACAACACAGCCTGCAGTTCCACTGCCTCTCAGCACAGCTCAAACCCCTCCTGGGCAACAGGCAGTACATAAGGAAGTTCTACGCAGGTAAACAGAGATGGGCCTTTTTCCTGTTCTTATGAAAACATCTAGCTGGGCCTTTCCCTTCTACCAGAGATTAGGTATTTTTTTCTGGGTCTTCCTTTACTGTCTGAATGAGAGTTTGAGTCTGTGGGAAGGCACAGAGCATCAAGCTCTGACCTTAGATGGCATATGGAAGTGGAGCTGTATTTCTACTTTGTAAATAAAAATTGAAGGAAAAACTTTATGCAACTCTATGCATGTTAATAACTTTTTGAAAGCTTGAAATTTTGTCAAAAAGTTGGTATCAAGGATAAACTTCTGTGTTGATAGGGGACAGGATCTTTAATCCTGTGCTTTTGAGTAATGTGGAGAGAAGTTTTTCAGCAGTCCCTTTTTAATCAAAACAAAAACCTTAGCCCAGAATATAGTAATTTGGAAAGGGAGCCTTTCAGCTAAGGTTTATGCTGGATCTAGGAGACTCTTTTACCTCCTAGACTGGAGATTTAGGGCCTGGTCCAGCACTCCCATTTCTCAACCCTTTGTGCACTGAGCAGCACTCTCCTCTCTGCAGACACTGCCTTCCTGCTCAGTGACTCCCACGTCACGGCCATGCTGCAGTGCCTGGAGGCTGTGGAACAGAACAACCCCAGGCTCCTGGCTCAGATCGACACGTCCATGGTGAGTTGAGGCCCCGGCTTTGTGCCTCTGGCTCAACCCAGAACCCTGTCCAGCTGTGACTGCTCATACAATGTCTCATTCAGAGCACACAGAGCCCTTGGACAAGGGCCTGGACTCACAAGTAGCGAAAGGAGCTCGAAGAGAGAAGGAAGTGATGAACTTTTCCCTGCACTGTCCATATGAGCTTGTCAGGGTTGGGGGAGATGGCTAATTGGAGTCCATATTGAGGCACCTCATTTCTGGCTGGTTTCTATGCTTTGAGTGTCAGGACCTGGTAGCAGGAACCCATTCTGTGTAAGAAACACCTTTAAAATTGTCCCCTGAAGCCTCAGGCCTAAAGACTAGCAAACATAGCTCCCTGGTGCTGAGGGACAGCTGTTCTCAAGGGGAAAGTGCAAGTACCCAAGGCCTAGAACACCGGGGTTCACAGCTGTGGTGCCACCACTGACTCCTGGGGCAACCCTGTGCCAGCCATCGCCCCTCCAGAGGAGGGCAGCAGTGGCTGCTTTCTTTGCAGAGAGCTCCCCGGAGGAGAGACACTGACAATGTTTCATTACATTGGGGCTGTGTTCTTTCAGCTGGCCGGCACGTCACTGCCATCTGTGTGCGCGTCAGGTCCCTCTGCTGGGACAAGAGAGACGGGTGACCGCGACGCTGAAGGACATGAGAGCCGTCTGCCTGGGGCACTAGGCTGCCTGGATCATTGCACTGAGAGCCTGGTAATTTCCAGACGGGAGCCTGCTGCTTAGCTGTGAATAGAGAGCCGTGTCCCTTCTATGCCATGGTATTTTTTCTCCCCACCCTACAGACTTAGCTGCTTCCCTCTGGGCCCCAGAGCTGCAGCTGTCTTCACTGGCTGGTAACCAGGTGCTCACACGGGGCACTGCAGGTCAATTCCTTTCTGTCTCCATAGCTGCTCTGTTGATGTGTAGCCCTGTAGATGCTGGTGTATTGATGATGCCCCCTCTGTTCAGTTTACCAGGAAGGGCGAAGGTCTGTCTCCAGTGACAAAGAGCCGGAGCCTGACTGCTTCCCCTGGATTCCTGCAGATACCAGCCGCAGACTGCACGCAGCAGCGTTGCTTGGGCTCCTTCTCTAGTCTGCACCACCCAGCCTCTTGCAGCCTTTCAGGTAACAAGAGTGGGCTGGGGAGCTCAGAATAGGCCCCTTGCCCATTCAGCATCTCTTCTGAGAGTCCACAGTTTGCTCTGGATCATCTTTCAAATGTCAAAATACAGCTCTAAGGGGCACGTGTTTGCAGCTTGCTCAAGCTTCTGAAAAGTGTGGTATAAACCCCCTCTGTGCAGCCGGCAGTAGCATAGCGGGGTGAGCGATCCCTGTGCATGCTGTGAGCTTCCTGAGCTTCTGCACAAAGCAGAAGTAGCACGTGTGTGCTGGGGCCTTCTGGGCTGCTGCTTTGGAAATGGAGCTGCAGCTAGGACAAGACCTGGCCTTTTCTCTGCTGTTAGTTTTGTTGTGCTGTACTGGTGCGGGGAGATCTCTGCCTGTTTTAGTATGGACACTCCTTGCCTTTGCCGGTGGGGACCGGGCACGCTGGCTTGAAGCCATGTGCTTGTTGCCATAGAGCGCCCCGCTTGTGCCAAGGTATGTGACCCCTTGTTCCTGCCTCTGTCCAGACAGGAGACCAGCAAGCTCCTCTGTCTTCTGTGGCACCAGCCAGCCTCAGGAACACTGCCTGTCCACCAGGTCCTCCTCCTTCAGTGTTTGCAGGACCCCTCTGGAGCAGGCCAGCTCTGTCACCCGCTGCCACATTCCCTCACCCAAAGACCCCTTCTCTCCAGCCAGCGAGATGAGTTCCAGCACCACCAGCCAGAGCGAAGACACTTCAATGGGAAGCCAGGACGATCCGCAGAGCGATGCTAATGATGGGCCGGAATACTTGGCCATTGGAAACTTGGGGCGCCGGGGCCGGGCCTGCAGCAGCGCCAGCAGCAACAGCACCAAGAGCAGCAGCTCCAACCTGTTCTCCTCCAGCAGCTCCCAGAAGCTGGACTCGGTCTCCTCCTTGGGAGAGCAGGGGGCGAGTGGTGGAGGTGCAAGCAGGGGCATGAGCCTCTTACGCCGCTCCAGCTTCTCGGAGGGACAGACATCAGTCCCACAGGGCATCCTGAAAAAGAGCCACGTGCGCTCGCATTCTGATACCAATGTGGCTTCGGGGAAGTTACACGGTAAGGGGGCTGCTTTTCTGGGCATGGGGTTGGCTTTGGGGTGCGGGCACAGAGGTGAGATGTGGCCTGTCAGGAGTGCCATTACCGAGAGGCTGGTACTGGCTGCTGTTTGGCACTATGCAGCACAGATGAGTTAGGGGACGTGTGGGCAGGCAGGTGGGAAATGGGGTCTTTGCTGTAACCTTGCCTGCTGTGTGCTGGGAGGCGGACTGACCTCTTGTTCCCAGAATAGAATTCCTTGTGCCCATCCGTTACTGGTGTTGGCTGCCCTGTGGCCTTCCCCGGAGGCCTGGGGAATGGCAGTGATGCTGTGACGCCAGCTCTCCTGCCTTCCCACCGGCCTTGCCCGCCTGGGGCCGCGGCAGGGCATGGGGCTGGGGCTTGGGCCTCTTGACATCCGCCTTACTGGTAATTTGCTGGGTCTGCTTATGCTCCTGAGTGGGTAAACAGATGGCGGGAGGAGTGGGTTGTGAAGGGGCAACCAGTTCATTGAGGTTTGCCCTGCTGGTGCCGCTTTCAAGTGCGAATGGCAGATCCTTGCTGAGTGGTAACCAATCTATCTCTGTTTTCTCTCCCTTAATGCTGCCCTCCTCCTCCTGTGTGTCCAGGAGGCCTCAGGGATATCACCATTATAATAGAAGATCCAGTGGCAGGTTTGGGAGCCAGTGTAACAGCCCTTCATCAGTGATCACTGCATTAAATTCAGGATTTCCATTAACCCATTGGTGTCCATTTAGAAAAACAAACACAGTTTCTTTCCTGAGTCCCAAATGATGCTTTGAAGGATTCCTTAAGTTAATGCATGCTACCTGACTGAGGACCTCACACCAGGAATGGTGTCTGGCTCTCCTGCATGATGTTATGAAGTGTTGCCTCCCCTTAACCTCTCTTCCACTCCCCATTTCTTTAGCAACCAGGAGAGGTTCCATCTCTCACGTAGGGAATAAAGTCTCAAAAAAGGGTCATTTTCTTTTTTTCAGTCTTTTGTTAGGGCTGATGTGGCTTTGGGCGACCTTGTTCACATGAAGCCCGCTAGGCTGCAGCAATTAACTGAGAGCCTCTCACCCAGGTCTCACGCGTGGCTGCTGTCCTGTGGCCAGGGTGTGGGGTGCCCTGGTCCCAGGCCAGGTCCTGGCAGCTGCTTCTTGTGGCCTCAGCAGGGAGCAGCCGGTGTCACTGGCCTCTGGAGCCTCTCAGGGGTATGGCATGAAGATGGGGGCGAAGAGGGGTAGGAGGTGCAAAGGACAGTGTTTGCCCTTCTGTTGTTCCTGTTCCCATTCCCATTCCCCTTCCCCTCCCTGTTCTTTCCAGGGTATTTTCAGTCTCCTTCGCCCCTAGCTGTCTGAGTGGTCCTGTGTGGTAGCAGCCCTTGAGTCGCTCCGTCCGGGTGTTCTCCAGGGGCGCTGCTCTCCCTGGAGCAGCCGTGGGGGTTTATCTGGGACTGCGCTGGCTCGTGGCAGTTGCTACCGGCTCAGCCTGGCAGTGACCAGCACAGGAGCTGGGCCTGGCAGCAGCGTGTGCAGCTCACCTTGAGCCCTTCAGTGCACACACGTTGTGTTAGTGAGGTTTGTGTGCAGTGAACCTGCCTTTTCTAGCTGAGCATCAGCGTGTCCTTCAGCTGCCTCCTGCCGCCTTTGTCCAGGCTGCTCTCCAGGGCTGGGAGCTCCACACATCCCTTGGCTGCTCAGGTTTCCCTTTGTATCCTGACTCCTTGCTCTGTGGGTTGCCCTTGAAGATGCTCTCAAAGGCAGAAGAGGAGGCTGGTAAGGGCACTTGCTAGAGGCAGCTGCATTCCCTGATTCTGCTAGGGATTAAAGAGAGGGTGGCTATGGATGCAACACATCTGTGGCTCTCATGAGTTTCTCTCCTTCTTTCCCCTTCTCTCCTCTTCTCAGGAGAAGCTGCCCTTGGGCACTGCACAGCAGTTTAGTAGTGACCCTTTGCCATCAGCTTGCTTTTTACCTGCCTTAAATGCCCGTTTAGTTTTATCTTCCTTATGGGTTTGCATATGGGCTGGTGCCCTGCTCCATTTCATGTCTGGCACCAGCCAAGTGGACAATTTCCCCCGCTGATTTCCATCCATTCGTGTGTGCCCCTGTGATGATGAGCTCGTTCCATTTCACATGGTACTCTGGGTTGGGACAGTTGCCTCTTGGATACTGATGTGCCTGTGGTGTTGTCATCCCTTACAGAGTCCCATGGTGACACAGGCGGAAGAAGGGGGCCCGTCTCCGGTTCCGCCCAGAGCAGTGAAGTGAGCACACCCAGTTCTCTCTACATGGAGTATGGTGAGTACCGTGAGCCCCAGGGGGGACCTTGGCTTGTGACAAGACTCTTCCATGTACAGCAGCTTCTTCAGCTTCTGACACCTGCTTGGGGCATACAGGCAGACAGGAGGTGGCTTTGTGGTGAGCTAGCTGGGTCTGGCAGAGCTTGTTTGTGTGGAGAAAGCAGCCAAAAGGTGTGTGTGGCCCTGTACTTAATGAAGACCTCCAAATATGCTAGTATTTGGATACTCCCAAATGCTGGAGACAGGAGATACTGGAGATGGAGGCTTTGCAGTAGCCTTGTGGGCCCAGCAGTGCTTAAACTGATGAAGTTGTTCCAGGATTTTTCTCTGCTGAGTCCTTTGAATTGGATGGTACCTTGGACCTTGTGAGATCAAGGAGTCCTTGTGCTCCGGTGATGTGAGGGTGCCAGCTGTGTGATTTTTTGTGTTGTCATCTGAAGAGCTTCATGTTGGTTCCCGTTAGACACTAGGGTGGATGGAACACAGATCAGTCTGCTCTGTTCTTACAGCGGGATGGACTAGCTGTCGGCTGTGTGGGCCTGATGGTGTCTCAGTGCAGAGTGTGGGGTGTTTCCCGGTGCTTTCAGCAGTGGATTTCCAAGTCCCTCCCTCATAGGCTTGTCTTTTGTTTTTTAGACTCTGGCCAGTACCTGAGTTCAGGGGAAGGGATGTTCAGAAGACCTTCAGAAGGGCAGTCCCTCATCAGCTATCTCTCTGAACAGGACTTTGGCAGCTGTGCAGACCTGGAGAAGGTGAGGAATGCAGCAGAAGCAAGTGTGAATGGGAGAAAGTATATTTGCAATTTTTCCCTCCCTTGGGAAGAAAATCCTACAGTTTCTCCTGCCTTAGAACTATTCAGAGGGCTTCTGTTTTGAATCTATGGTCAGAGTTGCTCATTGGTGTCTGGCAGTCGGTATCAGCCTATGTAGCTTACACATGGCAGCTTTGCAAGATGTCATGGCTCTTTAAGGACTCCTGCAGAGTGAACGTGTTGCACATGGTTTTTTGTAGGTTACTCTGTGTTTTACAAGAATTCTGGTGGCTAGGAGAGCTTGAGTTTCTAGGTCCTCATAGGAGAGTCAGGTTTCATATGGTCAGCATGGATCAAGGTACTTTTACCTCCGTCAAGGAATATTCAGCTCTTTCCTGCCGCAGATGTCAGAACAATGTTCTCCCCAAAGTCCCCAGATTTCCTGTGATGCAATCCTGAAAAGCAAAAGCTTTTGCTTTTTCCTCGCAGGAGAATGCCCACTTCAGTATCTCAGAGTCACTGATTGCTGCCATTGAGCTGATGAAATGCAACATGATGAGCCGGCAGCTGGAAGAGGAGGAAGAAGACAGTGACAAGGAGATCCAGGAACTTAAACAAAAGATTCGCATCCGGCGCCAGCAGATCCGCACCAAGCACCTCTTCCCTACCTGCCAGATGGGTTCAGACAGTGGGTGATGTCTTTTAGGGGCATGAAATGGTGGGATGTGGGTTTTCTACCCATTGCCTGTCCTTACAGTAGCCTGTCTTCCTGTCTGTTCATGGGAAACAATCATATTTTTATCAGGGTGCTGCAGAGATTTGCAAAACTCTGGAAGACCTTAATAGGACTGGTACTATACACTAGTAACACTTGTGCCACGCTGGCGTTGAGTTGTGGGATGCCTTTTCACCAGGAACCCATAATATTTTCCACGCTTAACAGCTGTCCCTCCTTGCCCTGGGCCTGTCTGGGTGTCAGCTTCTCCCCTAGCTGGCAGTGACCCCTTCAGACTGCTCCCACTGATGGCCTCGCTGTGTTGGGTTTCTTTTGTCTCCCAGGCCTTGTGGCAACGGACAGCGAGTCCCAGTTCAGCTCCCATGGCTCCATGCGACTGTCTGACTCAGGCTCTGCAGAGGATGTGGAAGAGTATGAGATCCAAGGTAAGAGGGAATGGCTGTGTTGGGTGCTTGCCTAGAACCAGACTTCTCCTGGGTATGATTGTGTTGAGGTCAGTCACACTGAAGAGGAGCATGTCCCTTGGCCGTCGAGGTGGCTTTTTCCAAGCAGATGGCTGAAACCTGAGCATGAGCAGAGCAACCAGTTTCCCTCGTGTGGTGACATGACTTCCCTTCAGGATCTTCTATAATCCTTTAGGGCACAGCATCGCTAGTGTGTATGAGGTTCCTGCTTCACTTGCCAGGTCTGTGGAGCTGGCGTCTCAGGTTTAGAAGAGAGAGATGGGAGAGCCCTGCTCTTCTGCCCAGGCAGAAGTCATAGTTTTGAACACTTTTTTTTTTTCCTCTTGGGTAGGAGCAATGAATGCTGATCATATCCTGACTTGTAATAGCTGTGAGCTCTGCTCCTAGCAGCTTTAGTAGCCAAGTTTATTGCCTGCAGGAGAGTTGTATGAGTCCCTGTGTGTCCCTTTCCTTCAAAGTCTGCTTCATCCTCCAAGGTGGATTCATTTCTCAGCAATGCTTCCATCAGGCTGTCTGTAAATGACAATAAGTGCAGTCCAGCGTCCAGCTATAAACGCTCAATCTTCCTGTCTCTGACTTCTGACAACAGAGCCCTTGTTTCGGTCCCTGAGGGCTAGATTTTGGGCTCAGTTCTGAAGTCTGTGGAGGGGTGTGTGAATTCAGTTCTGGGCTTCTCTGATGTTAGTGCTGCTCTTGTGTTATGCCCTTTCTCTTTGGCCTGGCCAAAGCACTGAAGTGAACTGTTTTGTCATCACCGTGTTATACAGATGGTAACGATGGATCTAACCTGATTCAAATGTCCAAGAACGGCCTCTCAGTGTCAATGGCTTCCTTGTTCTCAGGTAGTACCCGCAGAGCTCCCTGGCGGCACGCGCGCGTGTGTGTGCAAGGTGTGTGTGTGCGTGCGCACATGCACCCTTCCCAGTGTGTCCCCTTTGGTGTCACAGGCCAAGCAGAGGTCTGGATCAGCGTTTGGGCGTCTGAGATGAGGGTATTTCTGCTCATCTCCTACTCTATACGTATAGACCAGCTCATTGTAAGCTCTGGTGTGCCTGGTTTAGGAACTGGGAACAACGTTGTCCAAGTAACAGTAGGAAAAGCCACAGAAGGGTGATACATTGCAGGAAAGCAGAGAGGAGCTAGAGCTACTCTCTTGTGGGCACTATCCCCAGGACGTGTTTTCTGTACAATGTTCTGGATATATCAAGCACACCCACTGTAGTGATAACCTGCCTTGCCTGGGACTGGGTTAAGCAGAGCAATGCTGCAGCGTTGCAGCTCCGTAGCTGCTGGGGGAGGAGCCTGGGCTGTGGGCTGGGTGAGGGCACAGTCCTTTTACGACCTGGGACCAGGTCTCCATCCCAGAGAGTCTGTCCCTCAATGTTACGGCTTTGAGTGGAGCTGCCCTGCAGCTCCCATTGTAAATCTTGGCTTCTCTGATCATATGCAAGACAGGGAGAGCCAGGAGGGAAGGAGCCTTGCTCTTAAAATGACCCTGCTGTCAGCTTTCATCCATCGGGTGAGGCTAGCACAGGACCAAAGTTGCAGCTGGTATTTTGGGGAAAGTTACCCTCTTTGACTTTGTGGAGCTGACTCCGGTCTGAACCATGGACAATCATTCCCATCCTGGTCAGACTTGCCATAGGAAAGATTCCTTCCACAAGGAAGTGTTGAAAGAAAGAGTAAGGGAGAGCAGACGGTGCAGGCATTTTGTTCCCAGTGGAGGCCCTGCCCATGGGGGTCACGTGCAGCCAGGTTTCACTCAGCTTGTGCTGCCGATCCATCCTGTTGGGCATCCAGCATCAGTTGAGGCTGGGGCAGGAGTGATACCAGAGCTAGCCTCAATGGAGCCTAGGCCCAGATCCATCTCCCTTTCCTGTCCCTGAGATGATGCCAGTCTCTGCCCACAGCTCCACCTGTAATACTTGGCCCACACTGCGTGTGCTCTACTGTTTGCTTGAGTTTGTCATAGTCTAGGACCATGCGAGTGCCTTTCTGCACAGAGGTGAAGGCAGCAGAACATGGCAGATGGTCTGTCTTGTGTTGTACGTATTTGGGAGGCTGTGTTTGCCGACTTCTCCGTTTTCTGCATCTAGAAATCCGTGTGATCGAAATATGTGGATTGCTTAGCATTGGGATGCTTTCATGTGCCCGATTTTAATAACAGATGTCAAACAAGGAGGGTTAAGTGTCCATACTGGGCTCCACTGTCATGATGCCGGGAATTTACTGTAAGGACTATGAAGGTTATCTTGGTTCTTTGCATATCTTTTTCCCTTTCTGGGTGAAGGTACTTGCTGCCATTCACACCTGCAGGGTGCTCTGCTCCTTTTGGAAGTCCCACTTCTTTTTGTGCCAGGGCAGCCCTGGAAGGCAGCCGAGCTCTCCTGGACAGCTCAGGAGTTGCTCTCTTTGCTGCCTCTCTCTGTGGGGCTGGACTGCGACCTTATGGGCCTTAGAGAGCAGTTGGTGCCAGACCAGGAATGGATGGGCACTGCGTTGGGTGCAGGTAGCCATCCTGCTTTGGGTAGATGAGCAGAATGACCCTGGAGCTTCCCTGTGCCACATGCTGAGCAGTTGGGTCAGGAGAGCAGCTGCTTGTGGCTGTGCCTGTGTTAATTGTGGTCACTACAGATCTCATTCCTAGAGCTTCCATGGATGCAAAGAAGGAGAACTGCTGGGGCTGTGGCACTGGCCTCTTTCCTTCCTTGACCTAGAGTCCTTTCCCTTCACATCCCTTCTTCCCTTTTTTCTAGAAGTTTATAGTGAAACAGGGTTTCTTTCCATCTGCTTCCTTCTGCTTTGTACTGCTCAAAGTGTGTCCTGTCCCAGTGTTCTTCTACCATTCAGATTAATCCCCTGTCAGGGTTTAACAGAGAAACCTGCTGGAGTGACAGACGAGTGATGAAGGTAGCGCTTGGAGAGTGCCCTGGTCCTGAGGCCAGCACCAAGGAGGAGTATGTGACTGGAAGGGTGGTACAGCCCTGGGTTGTCAGAGACACATTCGATGGGAGGAGAAAAGGACCCTGCAAGAGCTTAACTTGGACCCTCCTTCCTAGAGAGCTGTGATGGTCTCTGCAGACACTTGGCTGCTGCAGTTGTTGGCCAGTTCACTGCATGGATCCTGACATGTCTTTTGATGCTGAGCTTAGGCAGCCAGGGCCCCTCACTGTGTGGGCTGTTGATGAGCTGTGGCATGGCTAGGCTTTTATCTTATGGGTTTCAGTTAAGCAGTGAGAAATATTCTGCATCCCATTGCTAATCTCCTGCATACTAAATATTGTTGCTAACCCTGCTCTCTTGCTCTCCTCGTTCCAACTCTGTGTGTGTGTGTGTGTGTGTGTACTTTTTCAGGCTATGTAACCTCTGGGACTTGGTGTGTGACTTGTACCAACACTCGCTTCTCATCCCCCAGCCCCAGGTTCCCTGTGTTTTCACAGCATCCCCACACGTCCTTCCCTTGCAGCTCTACCAGGTGACTGGTTAGATTGCACCTCTCCTTGCTGCTCCTTGTCACTGGTAGAAGTTGAAGCTGTAGTTTACGTGTTTCTAAATAGTTTGATGAGTTTTAAAGCGAAGCTTTGGCTTGAAGTGAGTATATCTTCCTGCCCTGCCTTGCTGTCTTCACCTTGTACCTGTTTGTGATTCAGATGCAGACATCAAGAGGAACCCAGCCTCCAGCAGGAAGTCCTTTCGGTCCTCTGAATCCATGTACGTCTTTGACTCATAGTGAGACATCTTGGTACCAAGTTCCCCTCCCTGCCCAAATTTGCTCTTCAAAATGCATCTGCTACTGCTTTACATTGGAGTGGGCATCTCTCCCTCCCTCTCCACAGTACCTTAGGAGTGGAGTACAGGTGCATCCTAGTCTTGAATTTGGGAAGCAGCACCTGGGATGTTCAGGATAAGTCGCATGCTACTTGGGCGTGAGGCAGATATGACATGGGTTGGTGTGGAGAGATCCCTGTACCTCCGAGTATTTAAGAGCCTGAGGAGAGGAGCTGGCATGATTTGGAGCAGACAGACTTACTCCTGGCTTGCAGCTGCCTCCTCTTCAGCCCTTGCTGCTGTGCTGTGACCCAGTGCTTCCCAATTCCCTGTACAGTGCAACAACAGCTTAAGTATTAAGTGCTCAGTCCTCTCCTGGCACTGCCCCAGAATGGAGAAGTGGGAATGGTGGGCAAGTAAATCACAAACCCTTTTAAGCTTAGCTGTCATGTTATTGCTCTGAAAATACCCCTTTGGGATACAGAGATGCTCTGTATGTTGGGTGAGATGAAAAGCTTTGTTTCTGCTTGGCAGCTTCTCAGGTAGGTTAGTACTGGAAGAGCAGTTACTTCTGTCTCATACAGATGCCCTCTGTGCTTTATAAACAACTACTAAAAGTTGCTTTTGAAACAAGCAAGGATGTTTGTGAAATTGGCATCACTCTGAGACACCTGGAATTAACCATTTCCTTCACTGTGTAGATCCCACTCCTTCCTCAATTCGAACTCAGCAGAGGCTGTGGCCATGGGTCTGCTGAAGCAGTTTGAAGGCATGCAGCTCCCAGCTGCCTCCGAGCTGGAATGGCTGGTTCCGGAGCACGATGCCCCCCAGAAGGTAAGTGTGAGTGTGTGTGTGTGCATGCGTGCACATGCAGAAGGTTGTCAGAGCTGCTGAGAAACTTCCATGGAAGCAGGCAGGACTGTCTGGAGGTGCCAGGGCAGAAAGGAGACAGCAGTGAAGCACACCGGATGGAGAAGCACACAATGCAGAGCTCCCACTGCGCTCTAGAAATCCAGAGCCACTGAATACATTTGATCATTCTTTTCTGAACTCCTGGCTTTGCACCCACTTCATGTCCACTGCCCAAGGGCTTTGCTCTTCCAGGTGAAGGGAAGGACGGGTTTTGCTCTGGCTGTTTGTCTGCGCCTGAGTTGTGGTGTTGGCCTGTGGCAGTTACTGTGCACTGCTATGTGCAGTGGGTGGTAGCCAGGCAGTTGCAAGGGCAGAGGAAGCAATCTGGGAACGGCAGCAATTCTGTGCAGGGTAGAGCTGGGGCAGTGGCTCAGCCTGCAGCAGCTGCTCCCTGGCCACTCTTGTGGAGCATATTGATGCGCTATTCGCTGTTGGTTTTCAGGGCCTGGGACAGTCTCTAAAAATGTTCTTTAGGCGCCCTGGCTGGTATAAGAAAAGGCAGCTTTCAAGAAAGCTCCTTCTGGTATGTGGGGATTGTACAGTGTGCCTGGAGGGAATGTGCATGGACCACAGTGTGCACTAACAGTCTCAACTGAGCCATGTCCAAATGGGTAACATAAGCACGTTCCCCTCTGGTGCCAGGGAGCTTGGCTTTGGTGCCTGTCTGAGGGATGGATGCAACTACCAATTGGTCTGTTTGCAGTGCCCTGACATGGAACTGCAAGACACGCTATGCCTCATCTCTGCTGTGAGCCTCATCTCACAGCAGGAAGAGGCTGCATCTCTCCCTCCTGTGGCCCTAACCACACCAAAGACATGCTCATGTCCTTCTGGAGTGGCCTGCTCTTGAGGGCACCTCACTTAGCATCACTGTCTTCTGTCCTGCTTGGTGCTGAGCTCTCTGCTAAACTCTTCAGCCTGCTCCTCACCTGCTCATGCCCTGCAGGGCTGGAGCATCCACAGCCTGGTGAGCTGGGAAACCAGCTTTGTGTGGGAAGCATGTAGAGACTTGTCCAGCTCCCTGGCCTGCCTGGAGAGTAGGAGGGGGTGAAAATGCCAGGAAGAGCCTCTGTGGAGATGAGTGCATCAGAGCTGGGCTCTGCTGCTGGGTTATCCTGCAGCAAGAGTGCTCAGATCCCCAGGGAAATCCTTTCTGCAGTCCCTCCATTCAGATGGGGCAGCCTAGTTTTGGGGCAGGTGCAGGAAATGGGTGCCAGGCTCTTTTCCAGAGACCTACATTTATGAACGCCTGTTAAGCCACCCTGTTGCATTACCCTTGTGGTGCCAGGCAGGGATCTGACCCTCTTGCCTGCCTCTCCCAGCTCCTGCCCATCCCCGACTCTCTACCCATATCTCCAGACGACGGAGAACATGCCGACATCTACAAGCTGAGGATTCGTGTGCGTGGAAACCTGGAGTGGGCCCCGCCGCGGCCACAGATCATCTTCAACATTCACCCAGCCCCAACGTAAGGACCTTCTGGGCAGCAGCCTCTCCAGGCACCTGCCCTTTCCTGGAGTTGATTATTTTCTCCTTCCTGCTTTGCGTGTGGGACTGCTCTCTGCTCTCAGCCTGATGGCCTTGCTGGTGCTGCAAGGCAGAGCCAGCGCTCGCAGCCGTGGCTGTGATGCACCGGGGCACAACAGGGGCTTTTCCCCTCTGCTGCAGTATTTTCTATGCTTGACTGGCAAAGCCAGATGTGCCGATGCCCGTGCTGTGGTGCCAGCTGCTATTGGTGCTGGACTTGTGTGTCTTTTCTTATTGCTGGGCAGGAGGAAGGTGGCTGTGGCCAAGCAGAATTACCGCTGTGCTGGCTGTGGCATCCGGACTGATCCTGGTGAGTGCTCAGCCCCCATCCCATAGTTGGAAAGTCAATAAGTTGGAAAACACAGGGTGGGTGGATTACGGCATGGAAAAAAGTGGGTGGATTATGGCATGGAAAAAAGGTGTGCTCATACCCACTGTAATTACTCAGGCTCTGTGTGTAGGTCAGCAGGTACCACCCACAGAGGAGCCTCCTTCCCCAGGCATTTGTGGGGCTGGGGGAGGCAAGGAGGAGCTGACCTGCCCTTCTGAGGAGTTTTATGTTGATTTGTCTAAGATAAAATCATCTATTGGAGCCCTGTAAAGCAAGGGACTTTGCACACTTTGTACTGTCTGATAGACTAGTGGGTCCCCAATGGCTGTATCCACAACTTCGGATCACAGGTTCCCTCTAAAACTCCAAGTTTGGCTGACTGGCCATGCACAGAGCTGTACTGTTGCAGTGTTCATCTGCTGTGGGTACAACTGTGGAGCTCCTTGAAGCAGCTGCCTTTCCTAACTGTGTAGGTGAATATGACTCCCTGTGTCCAACAGGCAGGTTGCAAGCCCAGAGACAGTCTATGCAGACCCCAGTCTGAAGCTGAAGAAAAACTGGCAAGGCTGTCTTGTCTGCTGGAAACTGAGCAACACTGAAGTCCAATACGTGTCTAGGTAGAAGCTACCTGCACCTCAACTAATTTTTTCCATCTTCTTTGGCTCGACTAGATTACATCAAGCGGCTGCGGTACTGTGAATACCTGGGGAAATATTTCTGCCAGTGCTGCCACGAGAATGCCCAGACAGTCATCCCTAGCCGCATCCTGCGCAAGTGGGACTTCAGCAAGTATTACGTGAGCAACTTCTCCAAGGACCTGCTGAGCAAGATCTGGAGCGACCCGCTCTTCAACGTGCAGGATATCAATGCTGCCCTGTACCGGAAGGTGAAGTCTCTCAACCAAGTGTGGGTAAGGCCCTTTCACGTGAGTTCCTGAGAAGGGTAGTGGGATTTGGGTGAGGTGGGTGGCCATTTTCACTGCTCTGTGAACAGAGCAGTGAACTAGTTTTGCTAGAGAGTCCTCAACTGCTGTTTCTGCAGAGGACTTTCTCAGAGGTCTCAGAGCTTGGTAAAAGGAGCCAGGTAGTATGGGAGGATATAAGAGAGTGACTTTGTCCAGCATCAAACAGCAAGTGAGTGGCAGAGGTAGAAGTAGTCTGTCCTGACCTCTCCAATTGTAAATGACATTCTGGAGAAGCTGAGGAAAGGCAGATATTCTAATTTTTGAGGGTTAAAAACCTTTGCAGTGTGTGTTTTCTTTTGCAACTTGCTCCCTGTGCAGTAACGTAGAGCGGGAAGGAACTTGTCTGGTGCCAGCTGGACCTTGGTGTGCTCCCTGGAGCATGGGATGACTTGTACTTGCTTTATCTAGCCTGGTGTAAATATTTCTGTACTGGGAAACTGCAGCTGAGGAGCAGCAGCAGTCATCTCACTAGAGCATGAAGTGGAGCACACATGTTTAGTTAAGGTCTGTGCTCTGTTTATCAGTCTTGTGTCCCCTCTTCCTCCCCAGCTGCTGCGAATCCAGCTCTTTCACATGAAGAACATGTTTAAGACCTGCCGACTGGCTAAAGAGTGAGTCCCGGGGTGCAAGTTTAAGCTCTTTTGCTGTCCTACGTATGTTGTACGGCAGTTTGCAGTGGGGATCTGTGCAGACTGTGAGTAAAGAGGGTCTTTCAAAGTCTATCTCAACGTCTCTGGGACTGCTGAGACCTCAGTCTCTGGCCTCTAGCACTGTTGAAGTGCTAGAGTTCTAGGGGGCCTGTGAGCACTGGTGAAGCCCAGTTCAAGGGACTGAAAAGTGCACTTGGTCCCACTTAACCAGCTGCAGTGCCTGGAAGAGAGCTGATTCAGGGTCCCCTTGGCATCCCTCACTTCCTAAAGGCTCATTCCAGGGTCCCACTGCCAGTGACTGCATAACTTAAATATTCCATCTGCAAACTGAGATCAACAAGCCAGATTCTTCCTTATGGAAGAAAATGCAAACCACTGAAACCAGCAGGGTTATGTGATGGTGGGCAGAAAGTATCTGAAGCTTCAGGACAAGGCAGTGTCCAGCACTGACCCTGTTTGTGCCCTCGCTATGCCTCTTCAGCTCACTCAGACCCTGCAGACTAAAATGTTGACTGTTCTGTCCCAGCTGCTGGCTGCTACTGCCACGTCCTCTAAAGCAAGTGCTTCTCAGTCCCTGTCTAGTGGTATGACACAATTGTGCTGCGGCAGCCAGGGAAGGGGGGAATGAGCAGCGGGTGAGGAGGTGGGTGGAGGGAGAGGAAAAGAAGAAGCAGTGAAGAGAGGGGACTGAATTAGTGGAATCTCTTCCCTCTGAGGTCTGGCTTCTCTGCCCTCGCAGCCTCCTTGACTCCTTTGATGCAGTGCCAGGACATCTGACAGAGGATTTGCACCTCTACTCCCTGAGCGACCTCAGTGCAACGAAGAAGGGAGACTTGGTGCCTCGCTTGACAGAGCTCCTGAAGGCGGGCAGCCTGCACGTTCAGAAGTGCATGGTAAGGCCTCCTGACCTGCCTTCCACACAGCTCAGCATCCTCTGCGGCACCCTTTGGAGCACAGCAAGCTTTGCTGCATAAATAATCGATGCCTTTGATTAGCTGGACAACTGTAGAATTAAATGAGTTAATTGGTAGAGCCCCTGCCTGTTCCACCAAGTTGCCACTTGCCTGTGCACATTGTTTCTTCCCCTGGTTTGACACTGTCCCCCAACACATGCTGATTCTGCCTTGCTGTGCTCAGTGCTGGGGAGGGACAGTCCTGCTGGGCGGAGCAGAGCAACATGTCTCACTGTCTAGCTCCTCTCTGCTTCCTGCTTGGTTTGCCAGGGAGATGAGCATCTGGCCAGTTTTTCTTCACTTTTTGTCCTTCTAGCTGTGCCAAGCCAAAGGCTTCATCTGTGAGTTCTGCCAAAATGAGGACGACATCATTTTCCCCTTTGAGCTCAACAAGTGCAAGACGTGTGAAGGTGAGATGCTGGGGGAGAAATAGGGAGGGGACAGACTCCTGGGCTGGTGAGATCTCCCAGTTTGTTTTCTAAAGGCATTGGTGCTAGCATGAGGCACTGAGCCAAAGATGGATCCAGACAGACTAGGTGCTTGTGTGCACGGCCTGTTTCTCTGCACTGCACCAGCAAATCAGCATTATAATGGTGTTTGGCCAGACTTGCTGATATGGTGGAGTGTGTAGCTGCCTTCCTGAGCGTGCAATGTGCTGCCAGTCCCAATTGCAGCCTTCAGGGTAACAGCTCAGCTCTGCAGCAAAGCATGTGCTGCTTCCAGAACCGTGACAGAGCCCCCCACTTCTAATGTTTGTTCTGCCGTGGCTTTTGCTTCAAATATCCTCCTGCACCAGTCTAGAGCATTCACTGCAGGGTATAGGGAGTCTGTCCAGACTGGGCTACCCCTCAGCTGTCAGCCACGCTCTCTTCCCCTCCCCTGCAGAGTGCAAGGCCTGCTACCACAAGTCCTGCTTCAAGTCCTCCCACTGCCCCCGCTGTGAGCGGCTCCAAGCCCGGAGAGAGCTGCTGGCCAAGCAGAGCATGGAGTCCTATGTCTCGGACTATGAGGATGAGCTGGAGCAGCAGGAAGCAGTGGCAGCCACATGAGCGTGTCACAACGGAGGAGCAGATAGTGGATTTATTTGTGCCTGTGACCTTCGTCGCTGGAGACAGAGCAGACTCCGAGCCAAGTGGACCTGCAATGAGGAGGAGCAGTGAGAGGGCTGGCCTGCCGGGTACCTGGAGCCCTGTCTCAAAGGGATCTGTCTTCCCCTGTGCAGCAGCTGAGTCGGGGAAGGGGGAATCTTCTGTTATCTGGTCTGCTCCAGGCACCAGTTACACCTGCCAATGCCTTTGCTTGGGGAAAGGCAGCTCCTCCTGTCTGTCCTGCAGGCAGAACAGGGGCCTTTACCAAGCAGTTGCTAATGTGCCTCTCCGCACCCTTCACCTTTGGGTGCTGCTGGGCCAGGCAGGGTTTGTTTGCCAGTCCTCATGCCCTCCTCCCTGGACAGGGTGTCCAGCGGGGTCAGCACTTTCTGGATGCTAAAAGCTCTCGCCGTGGCTCCCTGGAGTTGGAATCAGCTCTCCAGTTCCTTCCAACCCATGTCCTGCTGCTGATGTGCGTACGTACGGTGAGGAGGGCTGCGTTTGGGGGACGACTGTGGATTTGGCGACTTCCTTCTTCAGATCAGCCTTGAGAGTGGGCAGGGGGTCCAATGCGCCAGAGACCAATTGCTGCCACTCCAGCTCCCGGCAGAGGAGGCGCAGAGGAAAGGCCGGGTGTCTGTCCTGCCTCTCCGTGCTGCCTGCACGGGGCTGCTCTCCCCCTTGCAGCGCAGCGGGTGCTGCAGAGGGGGGCGTCACGCAGGCAGCAGCCGGTCAGCTCTGTGGGGACAGTGTGGCAGGGCCATCCACCGAGATAGGTTTGCCTGGCGGGAGCACGCAGCAGGTGAAGCAAGGCAGGGATCGTGGCCCAAGCGAGCTGAGCCGTGATGGCAGCGAGTGCCCAGCAGCTCTGCACAGCCCTTCCTCCACACTCTCCTGCTCTGCCCTCCTGGGGAACGCGTCCCTCCAAGGGTCACGTGTGACCTCACCCCGGACAGCGGCAGGAGCACTTGCCCAGTGCGCAGGTATCCTGTAACTGGGATCATTTGGGATATGTGCAAAGTTTATTTTCAGCCCTCTATGGGCTTCCCCCACCCCAGCCTCTGTCTCAGTTTGTTCTTTTAGGTTGTTTTTAAGTTGCCAGATTTGGTTTTATTTTTTTTTAATATGCCCGTTTGTTTTTTTAACTGTTTGTCCCTCTGCACGGTGGTGCTTGAAGGGCCTCTGCAGTCTGCGCAGCACTCGTTGGTTCAGAAACCTGCAGAGCTGTTCTGCTCCCTGCTGCTCGTCCCTGAGCAGGGCAGCCGTTTGCCAGGTGCCCCCTCTCCAGCTCCCTGTGGGTAGGGGTGCCTGCCTGCACCGGGAGCGCATGCGGAGAGGGAATTGGGAATGGAGCAGCGCAACGGTCGCC